ATTGACTTTACTAAGTTTCAGCCATTTTTCTTGAGTAAATGCCTTGGATTTTGAAAGACTTTTTTAGTTTCTAGAATTCTGGAAAGTTGACTCTGGGAAAATTTCCAGTGTATTAATTGCTTTTGTGGAGTAAAATGTATTTTAAGGAGTTCTTACTCTGCCATCTTTTGCTAACATTGTGTCTCCATTTTGAAAAGATATGCTTGCTGCATATAGAATTGTAGGCTGACAAATTTTTTTCTCTGCTCTAAAGGCATTGGTCTATTGCCTCCTGACTTGCATTGTTCCTGATGAAAAGTCTCCTGTAATTCTGGTTCTCTTGGTCCTATATGTAATGTCTCTTTTTCTCTCTGGGTGCTTTAAGATCATCTATCTCTTATTTTAAGCAATTTTATTATGATGTCCCTGGTAGTTTTTTTTTTTTTAATCTTTCTTCCTGTTGCATGGGATTATTTGAGCTTTCTGGGTATGTGGGCTCATAGTTGCTATCATATGTATTCTTTAAATGTTGAATGCTTTCTTCAGAACTGTCAGCAGCTCCTTGGCTCTTAGATGGTTGATGAGGAGTATTGACATGGGGGTGAATATAGCGTCAAAGAGGAAAAAATATTGTTATCCCCCCTGGATGTGGGTGGTCTCTGTGGTTAAAGATTTAATATAGTCTGAACAAAAGTAGGGTCTCAGCACACTGGCAGTCAGAAAATGTTAGCTAGGATCATGTCCCTGTGTCAGAGATAGGGGGCTACTTGTGGTGGCAGGGGGAAATGAGATGTAAAACATACAAAACCTGAAACCAAAAACACTGTCTTGTAGGAGTATCTTCAGAAATGAGTATCATAAGGGCAGTGATTTCATAGTCTGCACCAGTACAGAGAGTGATGTGCTGGAAAATTAGCCCTAAAAAAGCTCAAAACAGAATTAAAAAGCCCCAATTAGTAGTGTTTGCCAGTTCCTGTGGTCTAAATGCTTTCATCATGGACAATTTTAAACTACCAATGGTTTAACAATCAACTTGCTAAAGTATTGGAAATTTAACATTTGGCTTTTATGAGTCAATATGAGCCAGCTTCAGAGCAGTAGTAGTGGAACACATGACACAAACATGAGCTTTGGGGCCATCAAGCCACTTCTAAACTAGCACTCAGTGGGCACTTTGCCCAGACCCTTGGAAAGGTAGAAGCTCTACATCAGTCAGAAGACACAGGAGTCAAGAGAAAATATTTAGTGAGTAAGATGTAAATAAAAGAAATATGGGCTCTACAGCCTATTTGGGAGGGCTTCCTCTTTCTTGAGAATTTGGAGTCTGTCTTGACATTGGTGGTGAATGAAGCTAGAGCAAGGAAGGAGGTGCAGGCTGCATGAAAGAGAATGAAGACTGTGCTTTGAGTGGCCGTAACAATCTGGAAAGAAGAAGAGTGAAATTGAGGAAGCAGGGAAGTCCTCAGAGAAAAGCTTTGGAAAGTGAGTTTTACATTGACTGTTTTCTTCCCTTGCCTCATGTCTTGACTTTAACCAATTGCACCAGAAAATTGATAGGAAGAAAACAGACTCTGTGATTTTATAAATTCTTACATTTCCATTTTGTTAATGTAAACTTTTTACTTCTAACTCTATATTTATTAGGTATATTCAAATGTGTGACATTTTGAATGTGTGGATATTTTATTTCATTTGCTGTTATTAAATAGCTATTTGGTTGGTGAACACAGCAACTCAAGTTTAAAAGACTGTGTTCTTGGCAAAATGCCTGTATCACACCCAAATTATAACAACATAGCTTCGATCTTAGGGTGTTTCAGACATGACCCAGGAGTGCCAGCTCCTCTGATAATTCACCATGGGAGGAATTGAGCTGACAGATACTCCACGAGACTGGATGTACCAGTCTATGCTTTGGTTCGTCTTTTGTGGGTGACAGAGTGTGCAGAAAAATAAGCTGTAGCAGCAATTTGGTGGTTCTGTATTTGTAACTCAAGTGGTTTTGATTTGTAATCCTATCACTGTTGTCATATAGATTAAATGTGAGTCTAGTGTAAAACCTTTAGAAAAGTCATCCAGTGTTACATTAGAGAAAATATATCCTCAAACTGCCTACTTTCTTCTTCAGTTTTTCTGTTTCCCTCAGTGTGAGTCTTTAACTTTCCTTCTAGTTTTAAAATGATCCTTTGGTTCAAATCTTTTTTGATATTGATGAGTTTTACCATTTAAAATTCTGTAATTGCATCTCTGGAATGATATGAAATCTTCAAAGTTAAGGATGCTACATGAAAAATTGGGAGAAAAGCATAATGGTTATGCACAGAAAGGTCCTGAGTATCATGTGGTTCTGGGTCTGTCTACAGGGGAGCTGTTTATCCTTCTCCCCCCCACTTCCCCGCCACCCCCATATAATTATGTCTTATCCCCTCACTGAGCAGCTCTAGGTACACAATGCTGGGAAGTGATACAGTTGGAAAGATTCAATTGACTGGATTTGTTGTTTGCATAATAGCAAATATCCATACAGTTGGGATCATTCAGCTTTGGAGCACCACATAAATACAACATTAGGAAGTTAGCTCTTAGCATTTATATTCTTAGTGAGAACAGAGGTAGGACACATCATTAAATCTTTCTGGACTTAAGGAAGATGACTTCTGTTCTGAGACTCCAATGAAAGGATGAATTGCTTGGTTTGGTTGTCTGTATCCTTAACTGTTGATGTGGGAATAAATCAATATTAGACATAAAAAAATAAGTGTCTAACAACTAAATGTCAGAAGATGGAATAAAAAATGCTCCAGAGCACCAAACTAAAACTTTCAGTTATTTTCCTTAGAGTGCAAAATATACTAAATCATATTGCTTTGCTTTACACACACACACACACACACACACACACACACACTGTGTGTGTGTGTATGTAAAATATAGATACAAACACACATATATAGATACAAATACACATATATAGATACACGTGTGTGTGTGTGTGTGTGTGTGTGTGTATGTAAAATATAGATACAAGCACACATATATAGATACAAACACACACACACACACACGTGTGTGTGTGTGTGTGTGTGTGTGTGTGTGTGTGTGTGTGTGTTTGTATCTATATATCCTTATTACCATTTACCAGAACCCTGTGGACAGGAGATGTGACATTGGTGACAGTGAAGGAATGGTTGAGATCTTTGCCTGGGGATTGTCTTTTTCCAACATTTTTCTTTATTATCTTAAAAGCAAGTCAATATGTTTAGCTTCATTTTATTCTTGCACGGAAAAAAAAGGGCACTTACACAGCTTTGTGTGAAGGCACCTGACTCTAGAAGCAAGTAAGAAATATAGATCTCACCTTTTTTTAGCCCAAATACCAGTCAAGAAACTTCTGCTCCCAAATGTGGAAGACAGCTTTGCACACTGGTCATTGGGGGATCAAGCACTTTCCATGGTTCATGAGACATAAGCCATGCTATAAGACTTTTCCCAAACTGTGGTACCCCTTCCCTGAAATAAATTGAAGTAGAATAGCTTTTAAGTATATTTTGAACCTGCTAGGTAGGACATTTATAAACTTCTTCCTGTCATTTTATTTTGTGGAATAGAATGTTTGTATTGGGAGAAAAACAGAAGTTCAAGGAATTCAGCTTTGTTGTCAGAAACAGAAGTGCTCAACCCAGTCAGCTGAATCCCAGATAAATATGTATTGGGTTTGACCACATGTCCTTGTGTTTATCTGCCCTGTCACTCAAAAATATTTCTGGTTTGTCACCTTCCCCAACCCTCCCTGCCCTGCACCTTGAGGGCACATGCATTTCTCCCTTGCACAGAAAATTTACAATAATCTCTCATGTGAAGAATGTCCTAAAATTTTGTTATGTATGTATTTTGTAGATGAAAACATATCTTCAGCATAATCCTCAACTTATTTTGGATTTAAAAAGAAATTATGCTTTTGTTTTCCAGAGATTTAGGGATGACTTAGCATACAATTTCTAATTCCCAGCTCTTCATGTGTGTTTTTTTTTAGTACATTTCTTATCCCTTACTTTCCTTCCAATTTTAAATGTCTGTGTCTAAATAATTTTCCACTGTGCTAGTTCAGTTACCCAACCAAACCAATTAAAATGTGATGGGTATACTAGTAAATTTTAAAGCCCTTAGGTTGAAATGTTAAGACAGTGTATTTCCACATTTATAGATTCAGCTACATTCACTCTGTTTTCTTCTCTGCTGAAATGTGAATGTTTATGTGGCAAAAAGTAACTAGACATATACAAAATATTCAACTTTATTCTACTAATATAAACCTTAATGGAAATATCTATTTCCATTAAGTCCACTATAATAATGTATTCTTAAAAATAAACGGTTGAAACTTAAAAAAAATCTTCATGGATTATTTTTGATAATGGAAGAGACAATATCAAGAAATAACTGAAATTTTAAGTAAAATAAAAGTATTTAAAATTTAATAATTTCAATGGCTTTTTCTTTAGTTTTATAATATAGTTTCCTTATTTTAAGGATTAGGAACCAAGAACCCAATTCAGTTTTTATTTTTTCTTAAGGACCTTTTGAAACCTGGAACATTTTTGGACTTTCACGGACTGGAGATGACACTTATCTTCTTTGTGGTTGAACAAAGTATCAGTGACTCAGTTCCCTTTCTTGGGGAAACTTCATCATCATCATGGTTACTACCTCCTCCACCTAGACTATTGCCACTCCAAGGACACTGTCATCATATGTGCTACCTCCATCCTCATAGCCACCACCACCACCATCATCAATGCTATGGTGCCTAACTCCTGGAGGCTCACAGTCTGCGTGTGGGCCTGACCTTCTCATGGAAGCCTGGGGAAGATATGCATGTCTCACCAGATGTATGTATACATGAGCTGAATTGGGGTACCAGGGGTCCCACTGCAGTTTCCAGTATGGCAAGACCAGAACCGAGATCTGGACATCAGATCAGGGCTGATTTAGACTGAAGCGGAGCTAGTGATTAACACCCATCATGTGCTTGTGGTCTGACTTGATGTTAGGCAACATCCCAACACCTTCTTCAGAGCGCACAGCACCTCTTTGTTCCTCAGACTGTATATAAGGGGGTTTAGCATGGGGGTGAGGATGGCACCAAGCATGAAGAGAACCTGGTCTAGTTGAGGACTGTGGTAAGAACTAGGCCTCATGTAGACCAGTATGGCTGGACCAAAGTAGAGGCTCACCACAGTCAGGTGGGAGGAACAGGTAGCCAGGGCTTTGTTCCTGCCCTTGGGGGACTGTATGCGGAAGACGGCAAGGAAGATGAAAGCGTAAGAAGACAGGATGAAGGACAAGGGGACAAGGAGTACCACAATACTTGTCATCACCACAGCCTTCTCGTAGGCAGAGATGTCCTCACATGCCAATTTTAGGATGGCCATGACCTCACAGAGGAAATGGGAAATCTCTCTAGAACCACAAATGGGGAAATGCATGGCATAGGCTGTGTGTGCGAGGGATGTGAGAGCGCCCACAGTCCAGGATATGGCAGCCATCTGCAGACAGACCCTCTGGTTCATGATGAGGGCATATCTCAAAGGGTTGCAGATGGCTATGTACCGGTCATAGGCCATGAGGGTGATGAGGATGCACTCAGCGATTCCTAGAGTCAGAAAGAAGAAGATCTGAGTTCCACAGGCCCCTCGGGAGATGTTTCTCCTCCCTGAGAAGAAGTCAGTTGCCATCTTGGGTACAGTGCTAGAGATTAATGTCAGGTCCATGAGGG